ATTCCATCCGAGCCGGCTGCTTTGTTGCTTCGGAGCGTTTTGATAGCTGACGTCAGTTCGGCGACTGTCAACCCGATAAGCAGAATTTTCCACTTCTTTGGTTAGACTGTCTAATTTAACAATTTAACTTCCCGAGTTCAAAAGATACGCCAGTTTTAGAATTGGTTAAGTAATACTAAACAAAAAAAAACGTTTATATCAAACTTGAAGTTTTCATACCAGATTTAACAGCATAATGAAATTAGTGTTTTTTTTTTGCTCAGTTCGAAACCACTGTTGCGCCCATAGAAAATTTACTATTCGAAAGGCGAATAATGCTAGAGGTTTAAGGGGAATCGAAAATGATTCGCATGTGCGTGCCTGAGTGTGTGTGTGTGTGTACGTGTATATTGTTCAAGTGCGTGTTCAACAACACGAATTATGGGTACTCGAAACAATGGAATGACGACCCAACGAACCATTGCAACACAACGCAACGCAAGGGCCGAAAGCAAAACAGTAAAACGGCCATCAAATGCACAGCAACAGCAACAGCCACAAAGGATCTAACAGCAATATGAAGGAGCATAAACATGAGTGACAACAACAAATAACAACATTGATGAAACTTTGAACATGAATGCGAACAACACTTGGCGGATCCATATGTGACACAAAACACCCAACAGACACACACATCCTATCGCACAGATGACTTGCTTGCGTGTGCTTGACTCGTAGCCAGTCAATGGACTCTAGTAAATGCTGCTGGACATTGACTGACCCCACCGCCTGAGCCGTGATATGGAACGCACAATGAGGACGCTGAATGGCTGTTGCTGCGCTGGTTGCACATTGACAGGCGTTTGGCATAGACAGGCGATCGAGCACACGCATTTAGTGTGGCGATAACGGTGTGCAAGGACATGCAGGATAGGCTGTGTGCAATAGATGGTGTTGGCTTTGATGTTGCTATTGTTCAGCGCGCTTTGCTGAAATGCATCCGAAATTTAACATATGCAAGATGAATGCAACATTGCCATTGCGAGGGGACATGCAAGCGTTGTATGCTGCTGTTTTTTGGGGGCGCGCTTTCAATGGCAAGAGCAAACGACCGTGAACTGGAACTGTGGAAAAGTCATGCGTGTGTTTGCTCTTGAGCCTCAGCTCTACCATAGAATTTACGTGCGAACGCATTTAATGGCTGTTGCATTAGACACATTGATGTTGGTTGTGCAGTAATGTGTGTGTGTGTGTGTGTGTGTGTGTGTGGCCTGTGTGTAAAGCTGTGCCCCATCATTGTTATCCACGCAGTTGCTCACGCTTGCAATAACACACAAACCCATTCACAAAGTAACAGTCCTTTTTGGTGAAAAATAGTGTGTCCATCGTATCGGTTCGCTTACACGGCATTGGTAGTGCTATCTGCCTCGCAATTTCTTCGATGGACCGTAGACACATCAAATGACCACATCGACGTGCTGTTTTGTTTGCCCAAATACGTACTTATGCAGGTATATAAAAGAGTGGGAATTTTTTTGTAATTTATCAGGCTACCACACTGCCTGTCGATTAAGTTTTCTCACACCTACGTTTCTAATGTGCCTCACATTAAATGTGTCCCACGCGGTGGACATGGGCGCTTCGCTCCGGAAGATAAAAGCAACAATTATCGAAATTTATCACTCGAAGGCTAAGCAGAGGTGGAACCGTACAGGATCGTGCAGGATTACCCGGCAGTTCTGGGTGTCCTACGACCCACTTAGACCAAAGCTCCATAGGAATGAGCAAAGAAGATACCTACAAACTTACTGTAGTGTGCAAAGGGTGGGGTACATGCCGAATGGATTGGATTGTTGCCCTTCAACAAGTCGAACACTTCCTGTGCGAGGGTCCAGCCCTCGCAAGGATGAGGCTTAAGACACGCGGCAAGCCATTCCTGCAGAATGTTTTAGAGTATGACGTACTGAAATTTATTACAGCCGCCAAATGGCTGTAGGTTTCACGAGTTGTGAAATCAAAATAGCTACTTATGAATAGGCCTCGGAATCTCGTGCACTAAACAAACGAAAAATTGAAAAATATGCTCTATAAAGAAGTAAAATATCCGTAAATGTCCCAGGACCCATATTGGGGTAATTTCGTATTGATCAGAGCTATACGCAAGCTCTCTCCTACAGTCTTCCACTAGTTGATATATGAAAGAGGTAGTAGATAAAATATAATGCTTTTGCTAAGCACACACTAAGAAAAAAGTAACGCTGAACGTACATAAGCGGAAGAAATGGGAAGAGCATCTAAAGACCTTCAACTTCGCGTCTGGTGTGAGTAAACTTTGTGAGAGAACCATTCTAGTAGCGCTGAACCTGTCTAAGGTGTTCGACACTGGCATCTTGGAATGGTATTGATGACTTGTACTCGAAAGTAAACGGTTATCTCGCCGAGTTTTTTCGTTTCTTCACTGCTTGGAGCCTAACTCTCTCCCCTACAAAATTCTCAGCCACACTGTTTACCACCTGGACGGAGGAGGTCAGACTACAACTGGGAATTCACGTCGATTATGAACCAATTCCGACGTGAGCAACCCGTAGATCCTCGGAGTAATCTTCGACAGTATGATGAAGCTGCAGAATTGCCAAAACACAGCACTCAGGACAGCCACAGATGCCTTTTGATGTCGCCGCAACATCACCTCCACGGCGATGCCCATATGCTCCCCGTAGCCTGTCCTGGGGCTACCGCTTGACGACAACGACAACAAAGCAGGTCTTTTAACTCACGGTATTGCAGTATAAACAAATAGCCTTGTGTACATTCCTGGACATATCGGGTGCTTTTGACAATGCGACTTACGAAGCAATTTCGGCAGTTATGATAAGGAAGGATATTCCTAGCCTTCTTACTGGTTGGATCACAGGCCTATTGAAATCCAGATTTATAATATCCGGACTAGGAAACAGTGAGCAATCAGTAACTGTTACGCGCGGCTGTGCTCGAGGGGGAGTCCTATCGCTCCTACCATGGACACTGGTTGTTGACGAACTCCAGAAAAAGCTATAAGGCAATGGCAGTTTAAAGCATATGGTTATGCAAATGACCAAGTCATCTACGTTGTTGGTTGGCATGAGGAAACTATTTGCTCCAGATTAATTAACTGAAGACCACCATGTGCTAAAAAGGGCTTGTCCATAAACGTTCTGAAGTCCACCATTGTCGCATTTACCAAAAGAAGGACAGCCAACTTGACTAGACCTACCTTGGCAGGAACAGAAATTAGGTTCTCAGAAGAGACGAAATATCTCGCGGTAAAGGCTCAATTGGAAATCACATATCTCTCGAATGTTACCAAACAAAGTAGTTTTTGGTTTTTCTCAAGTTAACTATTTGAACAGAAAAATAATATTTTTTAAACAAATTTAAACACAAGTTTAATTGATCCATCACAGAGTGGGGTTGTGTACAAATTTTTATTGGGAATAAGTTGAGTTAAATAAAAAAATTTTTTAAAACACCACCACTCTGCAACTTACCATATCCATAAAATTTTCCTTAAGTAAAAACAACCTTTGATTCACATGTTTTAGTTAACAATTTGTTTATTTGAATTATATGGTTTTTTTTGTCTGTTTTGTTTGTTTTTATTTTTTTACTTGTTATCATTCACGACTTCCATATTTTTTTCGTAATAGTTTTTGTTGATAAATATAATATCATACTCATTTATATATAGATTTATTTATACATAATTACTTACACATTAAGCTAACACTAAATTCTTTATACATTTTACAATAGTTTTATTTTTATAATAAATTTTTCCATACTTGCTCATAGTGCTTCCTTGCGTTTTTTTCACTAGTTTTTTTTTTATACTCATATTTTTATGTTAATATCAGTTTGTTGTTTTAATTTTATATTTTACTTTAAATTTTTTATATTTAATATTACATATGTTTCACTATTTGCAATAAATTATACAAGCTTACAACTACATATGCAGATAAGTAAACAACTGAAGTGAAAGTAAGGTAAGGTAAATAGTAAAAAGGTGTGCAAAGATAAGCATAAATATGACATACATACATACAAACATTCACATCGAAATTTATTTAAACTAAATAAGCACAGTTTTATTCTTAGTTTTGGTGCGTTGTTTGACAACAGATTTTGAATCAAATAAAAACGAAAAAAAAATGTAAAAAACGCTAACAAATCATAGGCAAATATTTGGGCAAAGTTTGAGGAGCGAAACATAAATGCTTGTTTTTGTTTTTGGGCTGCATTTTAACAAAAATGATTTATTACACATTCAAAGTAGTTTCTTCTTTTGATTTCATTTGACATTCTTACTAATTTTAAAATTTTTTATGGTTTTTGATGTAAATTTTCTTTTAAGTGCCACAAATGTTTGCTTCGGGATTATCGAGATTTTTTTTTTGTATACACAAAATACAAATAGGCTTAGCTTAGATGCTTGTGTGTGGGGTGTTTATTTTAAATCCTTTTTTGTTGGTTTGTTTGTTTTTGTTTTTCTGTTTGGAGCGGTATTTACTTGGTTGCAGTTTTTTGCTTAAATAAAAATCTGTTTTTGGCCATCTTTCGGCTGGCTGCCTTGACTCACTGCACTGCTCATTTCCACATGATTTAGCAGTTTTTCTATGCCATACAAGTTAGCTGTGTAATGCGCTAAGCAGTGAGGAGGAGCAGCGATTGGCCGCCATTTTGTTGTGTTGGAACGCCCGCTGCTGCAGCCTACATCATCACCATTGTTCCAGGAGTTCCAATTGCTCCGGCGGCAGCACTTCTTGTTTCAATTGCAATTGTTGTTCTTGTTGTAGCTGTGGCTGTGTCTGTTGATCGGTCGACAGCAAGATTGCTGCCATAGCCTCTGCTTGCGCGGATGATGCAGATGAAGGCAGCGGTGGCGGCGGCGGCGGCGGCAGCAGCGATGTTGGCGGCTGTAATTGCATTTGCAATTGATGCTGATGCTGCTGCTGCTGTTGTTGTTGTTGTAGGTGATGTTGCTGTTGCTGTTGCTGGTGTTGGTGCTGCATTTGCTGTTGTGCGCTCAACGTTTTCAGCAGCAGCAGCCGATTGGCCAATTGTTTTGTATATTACCAAACCAGTCCCTCATTTTGCATATTCGAGGGCTCACTGAAATTCGCCGCTGTCAGATATTCTGGTGATGCTGAGCGCGGGCCATTCGGTTGTTGTGCTTGTTGTTGTTGTTGCTGCTGCTGCTGCTGTGCTTGTTGTTGCGCTGCAAGTAGATGTTCAGGCGGTGGCGGTGGTCCCCCAGCAGATTGTATACTCATCGGTGGACCACCAGCTTGACTGAGAAATTGCGATTCGGGCGTAAGACCAAATTCATTCACCATCGGTATGGGGCCGCTGTGATCCATGGGACCGCCTGTAAGATAGCAGAGAGAGCAAAGAGAGTGGTGGTTAGTAAAAGGGATTGAGATGCGAAAAATGATTTTATTCAAGGTTGTTAAAAAGATTTCTCTATGGCCAGAAATTAGAGTCGGTGGGTTGAAAAACTTTCCCCTCCAATTTACGTATGAAGGGTCCCTATTTTCTAATACATACATATGTTACGAAGTCGGACTTGTATATGATTTTGAGCTTGTTTTAGCGCACACTCGAGGCTATCAATTTAGCGCTAAGGCTCCAAATTGCAAAAATAGCTAGTCTTCTAGGCGGAAAGCATATCCGTTAAATGGCTACATTCCAGACGAAGTTCCATACTTGGGTGGTAAACCGATAGTAAAGGCCTCATGAGTATTATAGAGAAAATATATGCAGTTTATTTCAACTTAAGTGCATGAAGCAGATTTTGGCGGAAACTCTGCTACATATTGATATACATATTGACCAAATGAAATACTTAAGTAGAAACCAAAAAGTTGCTCTATAACTTATTTACTGTGACTCGTTTCTCCCGCTGTGAAAAAGTTATCCCTGTATAGGTGAATGAATAAATAAATTTGAAAGGGCCAAACTTTATTTTCTTACCGAATTCCCGCCGTTTAAAGATAATCCAGTTTCGGCGTTGTGCCACTTTCAATAACATTTTTCAATGTCAATTTTACTTTGGGCCTATGAATGGAGCGGTGAGAACTACACTTCAAGCGGCCTAACCAATTGCTGAATGAATATGAGAAAACAGTCGCTGGATGAATCAGTTAAGCACAAATTTGCGTCTTCTTTTTCAGCGAAAGCTGGCAGAAAAACAAAAAAAAAACAGTCTTCTGTTGGTCCCATGCATTGTGCCTCAAGAGCAATCCAGCCTCCGTTAGACCTTCCGCTACAAGCCAGTTCGGATCTTTCAAGAAGTATTTAGTTGTTTTGCAAATATTAAGGCTTGTACTTTTGTAGAAGAACGTCTTTTATCCATGCCGTAGTCTCAAAGTTCGACACATACATATGTAAGTTTAAACTCGTTCCTGTTTGCGGCAGAATTCAGCCCAAATTTACATCTATCTATCTATCTGCGAATTTTTTTTGAGGAGGATGAAGTGTTTTTCACGGTCTCTGATTTCTTATCTCTCAATTACACATTTCACGATTGAAAAATCTCCAGCCAAAATACCCAATGTGCAGCATAATCTGAAGCAGCCATCCAGCATCAGGTCCTTTTTTCAGACCAGTAGCCTTGGGTGAATAAAATTTTTTGCCAGATCTTTTAAGTAAGATTGTAGAGAGATCTAGAAATCAGAGTGATGCTTTATTTTCTCTCAATAGGCATTTTTTTTACTTATGGGCCAGTGGTAATGAATATTGCTCTGAAATTTGTGCAAATATTCTGAATGTCCATCTTCTCTTCATCGTTTCCTCGAGGGACGGTACCCATGGCGTCATATGCTTCTCAATGAAGGAAATAGCACCGCAGAACTAGTAAATTGCTCGCAAAAAGACCATTATGACTAAGGTTTTACTCTAGGCCTCTATTTTCGTAGTAACAATTAAGTTCAACTAATGGTCTATGTAAGATCGGTGGTATTAGCCTAGCTAATCTAACCTTATCTTATTTTCATTTCCACATAAGCCTGGAGCTGGATCCTTTCTATATATATAAAGTTGTCATACGTTCCATCGTCTGCGGTATTCGCCATCGCCAAAGCGTAAAGGTCCGTAAATATTTCGCAGTATCTTTCTCTTGATAGCTCCAAGAGCCGCCTCATCAGAAGTTTTATTTTATTTTTATTTTCCATGCTTCTTTGCCATACACCAGCACGGATGCGTTGAGTGACTTATAGAGTGTGATTTTTGTACTACGGGAGAGGACTTTACTTCTCGATTGTCTACCCAGTCCAAAGTATCTAGTACTTATTGGCATGGGCGATTCATCTTTGAATTTCAACGTTGGAATTGCTAATACTGGTTTCTAAATAAACGAAGCCAACAGCTCTGACTCTTTGTATGGTGATAGGAGATACTTCGTTTCGCCCTCGTTCACCATCAAACCCATTCGATTTGCTTTCCTATATAATACCAAGAAGGCAGAACGATGATATAGATGCCGTCGGCATACGCCCTTATTTGTACGCTCTTTTCAAAATTGTGTCTGATCGGTTCAGTTCTTCATCAACATCAGATTTAAGAAATCACACAAAACCTCGTTTACTATCAAACGGCCCGGAAGGGTCCTTCTGACGAACACGGTTGTTTTGATCAACGTCATTTTACAGAGTGACATCTCTTAGCTTTGCGGGGATACCAAATTAAGACATCGCGGTATAGAAAGCGTCTTTGAAATCGGCGTATGGTGAATACTTGGTTCTACGGTATATTTGCTAGGTATAAAGCCACACTGATAAGGCCCAATTAGTTCGTTGGCGGTGTGCTTCAGTCTTTCACACAAAACTGCCGATAGGACCCCATATCTGATGCTTAGATGACTAATTCCGCGGTAGTCTTATCCTGGATTTTCCTGACACCCACACACACACACATCACCCAAATAAGCTAGGCGTGATTGAAATTTTGCATCTCCGTTAAAAGCAAGTTAACTACCAGACACTGTGGAAGTGGCTATCATACAAATATTCATGCCTTACATTTCGTAATGCGTTACACAACCTACCTGGTGTATTAAATGGCATCGGTCCGCCCGGATGTCCTGGAAAGAATGGTCCATCGTGCGGATGAAACGGCGGCCCACCGTAGCCAAATTCAAATTTGCCATCAGCCGCGAAATAAGGGAAACCAGGACCATCGTCGAGACCACCAGGTGAGAGATTCATGGGAAAGCCGCGCATTTTACGCGCGCCGCCAAAGAACGGCGGACGACCCATGCTGGTGATTTGCTTCATGCGACGCTCCTTGGAACGTTTGTTCTGGAACCAAACCTATGGCGAAGAACAGCAAAAGAGGAGAAAAGCAAAAAAAAGACAATTAAAAAATGTAGCAGCAACGTATGTATGTACATAAGTATAAGGATGCAGGTGGTGAAGACTTAAGCCTAGAAAAGTACATTCATAAAGAGCTGGCAATTGCGATACGCATTGAAGCGTTAAAGTAACATACACGCATCGTCACACACACGCCCGATTGGT